CACGTAATCTCGGTAACGCAGCTCCAATCTCGTCTGCAGTTCTGTATTACTTCGAAGTATTTAGATATGCAGAAGTAAAACTGCTTTCAAAAGTCTCAGCATGGCCATGCAATGCATACACAAAACATTTTGACACCCATCATGAGAGCGTTCCAAGGCCTCTCAGCGCTTATTTACCTCATACACCTGGCTAAGAGTACCGATGCACATCCAGAATCAGGCCAACTCGCGCACGAAAAAGACAAAAACAACCAGTTCATCGAAGCGATAGACCATCGACTTCTACAAAACTATGTTAATCCAGAACCCACATCGGCACAGTTGACCCCTGAGCCTACCGCGACGGAACAACCCACACCTGAACCAACCTTGGCACCTACAACCCCTGAACTTACCACAAAAGAACCCACCTCAGCGCCCGCGACCCCTGAACCGAGTGCGACGGAACAACCCACACCTGAACCCACCTCGGTGCCTACGACCCCTGAACCTACCATGAGTGAACAACCCGCACCTGAACCCACCTTCAGTCAAGCCAAGCCAACCCAAGAACCCACGTCCACGGTGCAGCCGACACCTGGAGCCACCTCTACGCCTGCGACGCATGAACCCATAACGACGAATCAACCCAGTCGTATACCCAGTTTTGGCAACTTGCCACGCACACCTCAAGCAACGTTGGTGTTGGTGTCCTTGGAACCCACGAGGAAAGTTCCGTCCTCCACCCAACATACCCCAATTGTGGTTCCTGCGTCGACGTTGATGCCTTCGCCAACATCAGAATCAAAGCACTCACCTTCATCATTAGCTCCTCCAATACCACAATCTACAGTCAAGTTGAATGTGAAGCCAAGTGCATTGGCGCTGTCGAAGTCTACATCTACAACGCAGGCTACGTCACCAGTTGATCCATCGTCACAGTCTCCTCATATTCCGACCTCGACTCAAATAGCCTTGACGGCAGGTCCAACCAAGGATTTATTGATTGACACATCGTCAACTGTTTTATCCCCCGATGAATCCATGAAACGCGTATTGGATGCAGTTTGGAAGCGAATGGCAACGTTGCTGGATTCACATCCATAGTAGGTTACTGTATCCCAACTAACGTTATTAATAATGTACTCATTGCATACTACTACGTAGTACTTCGTATTAATAGTACTAGTTATTCTTGTCTTGTGCTACTGTTAGCTAACAGTACATACGTATTCCGGTGAACAAGAATGTGCTCGTCACTCAAGTCGTTAGTTCCACAATTAATGTAACGTTAGCACCAAATACTCTGGTGCACACGACGAACATTAGAGAGGTTTTGCAACTCATCTTTATCATTACCCTCAGCCACTACTGACAAAACCGGAAGTGTACCTCTCAAAATTAATTAATGATACTGTGAAAACGAATGACAAGGTCGTGGATTTGGCGATTTGTACGGACAGTTATCTTTATCATCACATTCGACCAAGCCAATCAGGAGCTTCTATTTCCACAGTACAAGGAGGAAGTTTGTTGGTTTGTGTCCCGTCTGGCATTGATCGTTTGACCAGTGTTCACAAAGTAGAGTGTGGTAACACAGAACTAGCGTTAAGTTGCGTAGTCATTGTGGTTTCATGCTTTCATGTATCTACTTTTGCAGATGTGGAGAACTAACAGTGCAAAGTTACCAGTACGTTCCTGTGTGTGAATTCCAAGGTCTACGTTACCATGACGTTACCACTGATGTTAACACACAATGGACGTGACCTCGTCGAATGACATCCAGATGACTACGCAGCGCAGCCATTTGGAAGCATAAGGTCCTCCACATTTGATGAGGCTGGTGTGGAGAGATTGCTAGATCTCCAAATCGCCGAAACCACTGGCGGTCCAGTCGATCTCCTTACGCGCAGCATTCACGCAACAGGAAATTGAACCGAACCAATCAGTCGAAACCATCCACTATTTTTGCACGGCATGCTTGTCACCTTTCTCATGCACTACATACGCGGTATTGTTGATTAGCGATGGCGTAATGTATGTACCGTTCCTGTATTGTTTACAATTCTGCTAAACTAGTTACATGCATGGCTTCACTCCTGTCTCGCATCAAGGGTGAGAGGCTTGAGAACAATTGAGTGCCACGTTACGAACTCGTAATATTCTATCTGATAGTTCATTCTTCACCCCACTGGACAACCAATTCAAGAGGAATGTGAATGGTGAAATGAATAAAAGATGGAAATCACTGTGTATGCAAGTTCTGCAGCGATGTTCAGAACATTCGTGTCGATCTCGCCTTGTCCATGTCAAACAACCAAGGCAGTCTCCGTTGCAAAGTAAATGCTTATGGAAGAATGGCAGTATTACTACTACCTTCACTTCGCACAGACAAATTTAGTTCATTCTCTATTTCACAGAGATGGTCTCACTTCCGCGGCGAAGTCTTTGCATCCTAGTTGCGTTATTGGCGCTTGCGCATAGCCAAGATACACCAGATCCGACAACAATTGCTACGAGCGAGACACCAACATCAGCTCCAACTTCTAATATTACGACGATACAACCCACACCCGAGCCTACCCCTCTTCCAACCCCTGATCCGACTCCTGAATTAAGTCCTCAACCCACACCTGAGCCTACCCCTGCTCCAACCCCTGCGCCTACCCCTGCTCCAACACCTCAACCAACTCCAACACCCCAACCTACACCTGAACCTTCCCCTGCTCAAACAGCTTCGCCTATCCCATCCCCCACTCCTCAGACAACCCCCCCACCCCGAGTTCGGAAGTCATGGCTCAGTCTCACTGCAGATGAACAATCACTTTATTTGGAAGCTGTGCAGTTATCGATGACGCTTGGGTACCACTACTACTTCGTCCAACTCCTCGAAGAACCCCAAACGTACTACGAGTACTACTTGACCAGCGGCTGGGCGTACTGGAACCGTAAGCTGCTTCTGGCTTACGAAACAATGCTCCGCGGGTTGTCTCCTCGGTTTGCAGCTGTGACACTGCCGTACTGGGATGCCTTTGCCGACTTTGCCCTTGTTCAAACTACAAACTGCACGTTGTTGGACTGTTCGGCCATTCTGACAGGCTTTGGGGGCTCCTCTGGCACAATTGGAAACTTGACCATCGATCGAAACGACACCAGAGGCATCAAGGTAACTGCGCCACAGGTCAAGAGCTTCTGTGAGTCCGACACCAACTCTTCGTGCGCCGGCTACATCATTCGGTCATCTTGGCGTCGTTCCTTTCCGTCGGGGTTTGGGTACTTTTCCCTCGCGTCAGCGCTCAACACTGCATCGAGCTTTCAACAGTTCACGTCAGTGATTAAATCTGGCATGCACAGTACGTTGCCCCCGATCCATGGATGCTTGTATATAATTTCATCATGTATTGGTTGTAGACAACATGCATCTAGCATTAGGCGCCATGATGGCCAACAACCGGACGATCGCAGACACCCTATTCATGCCACTTCAGTACGATGACATATTCGTGTCTTAACGGCTCATGAAGAACGTTATTAGCGCTTCATTTGACATGGTACTCCAAATCTACATTAATTGCTACGTGGGCGAATTCCCCTCCGAGGCCGCAAAGCGCAACACCACGTCCGCGTGGCCCTTCGTCCCGTCTTCGATTTCGAATCCCCCGTATCCTGCGCCTACTCTCAACTCCAACATTACCCATCGCCTACCTTTGACAGGAACCCAGCTCGGAACGTTTGTGGACGCAGCAGCGCATCCGGTGCTCGGCCCCCTCTTTCAATCCCTGCCACCCGCCTACTGGCAATACGTGAGCGCGTCCAACCTGGGTGGCGCGCACAGCTACACATATGACTATAACTCGCTCATGACCAACTTGGTGTCAAATATGTACAAGTGCGTCGTGGTGCGACCAACCATCACGGCACCGCCTCCAGCCCGCCGACGCATCCTGCGCAAGTCCTTGGTAGCACCAGATACCATCGTAGCCCCAGATGACATCGTAGCCCCAGATGACATCGTAGCCCCAAGTACCATCGTATCCCGAGATACCATCCTTGGACCAAGAAGGGCCGCTCGCCAGCGATCGGAGTTCCGGGTGATGACAATTGCAGACCGCATGCAACGTGAGATCTGCCAATTCCTCTCCAACCGAGACTTGTGCACTCGACTGCTGCACTACATCGAGTGCGCGTGGACAGCCACAACGATGGGCGCAGATCCTGTGCAGAGCAGTACGTTTTCGGGTGGAGTTGGCAAGGATGCCGACCAGATGGTGACGTCGCCATGCACGGAATCTCTCCTGTCCAGAGAAGCCCTCAAGTACAGCTCGACCATCTCACGCGGAGTCAACGTGCTGACGAGATTGCTGAACGCATGAGATTCGTGGTCAAGCTGGCCCTACGACTGGTGCCTGCATCGTACTCAGGGTACTCAGGTACTGTATATGTTTCAATAAAAAAGAGCAGTGACGTTAGTTTCAAAAACTAAAATTGCATTGTGAATTCGCTACCTAGTAACTTCCAAACACACTTGGTTTTCTATTCACATACTACGTAGTACTAGTAACATAAAAAACCAATTTACTGTTTAAGATAACTTTTTTGGAGGCGTCGGAGTAGAATAATGGACTTAACTTTTGAGACCGTTTCGATATTTTACAGTCAGGAGTAAATATTAATAAGTGCTGGGAGTATAAACAATGGCCAGCAACAAAGTCCTTTCAGCAGCCAATGGAATGCCATGAATTCCTACAAGTGATATTTACTGCCAATCGATGGCCTATCGCTCACAATACGCGCTTTGATTGGCTACGTGCCAACTCAAAATTATCATGAGCAAATGCAGACAGAATCCTGCTATGCACCACATTCGCCGCGTCGTGGCCGTGCGGTCCTTTTGCAGTCGAACAGCCCCTCATGCGACAAACACAGCTGCACACGATGTTATGGATAGATTCGAAAAGCACCCCAGGCACTCCACTGCTCTCCCGCTAAGCGACGCCGCCGCGCCACCCACGACACACCAGCTGCAGTCGATGTTCTTGTCCTTGGTTAACGACGGCCTCAAGGACGAAGCAGCCCAAGTTGTTCAATACGCGACGGACAAGGCCATCGATATAGACTACGACCTCTTGTTCCATCGCTCGATCAAGGACAGCAAGCTCAACCTTCATGCATTCGCGCATGTGATGATCGCGCACCCAATAGCGTTCTCGACCCAGCTTCGCCTCCACGCCCTTCGCGGGTGTCTGGGCGCCAAAAACTACTCCGCTGCCATCGAGCTCTTCAATCACGTTGAACACGACCACCCTTCGTCTCGAATGGCTGAACTCAACAAACCGGTACATTATCCCTTTCCGAAAAACAACACATGGATCTCAATGGACAGATGAATGTTGTTTGCGTAGCTGTTGTCGCTGCTACGACAGCTGAGCCGCGCGACTCCTCCCCGCACGGGGCTACGCAATGCCCAATACCTGCTCACGGACTTTATCATGTTTCGCAATGCGGCGGGTACGTCCGTGGCCACGCTCCTGGACGCGCTGCGAACGTGCCACCCCGACGTCGTTGCTGGCGCCGTCAAGTTGGTCGTGTACTCTTTGTTTGCCGTTCCCAAAGCCCAGTGGCACCACCAACTGGACCGTGTCCTTGAAGTACTCCAGTACTGCATCCAGCATCGTGTGGCGCTTCCAGATACGTGGTGCTTTACCACAGCGTTCCTGAAAAGCAAGCAAGTTCCGATCGAATGTGCTGGGAATGAACGCATTTTGCAGTTTGCGGTGCTGTATGTGGCCATGGCACATGCCGAGTTGGTCGTGCCTAGCATGGAGCCGACGTGGCTGGCTATTCAGGCCGCCGCCGACACGGACGACAACTTGACCAGACAGTGTTTGCGACTGCTCTGTGTGACCAACATGACTCGCTACATGTTTCACTTTGGATTGAATTGGGCTTGTAACCGAGGTATGAAGACAAACCAATCGAGTGGGTCGAACCAGACCGAGTCTTACGCTTTGTACAGGCGACGTGGCCCTCGCCTCCGAGTTGTGCCGCAGTGTTGTCCAGCGCAATCATCCCACCCCGACCCCAACGACGCTCAAGTTGGTCACTCCACTTCTACCTCGCCTTCCCAGCGAAACTCATCACGACATCGTAGCGTACTTGAAGAGGCACATCATATCCTTGTCAGATCAAGCCCCGTAGTGACCATAAAAAACAAAGTCATGGATTTCACTCTATTGTCGATTTGATACAAATTTGGGGAGGGGTGCAATCGAATCGCGCCGACCAAACCGATCCACAATCGAACTGATTGGTTGAATTTCATTGAGAAGGTTTTGATTGGCTAATAATTTTGAGCTCATCTGAGGTAGCCAATCAAATCGATTTAAATTCCAACGAGAGACCACGCCACAACACGAAATTTCACTCGAAAGCACAATACTGTATGAAGTGTCGATATTGTTGTGGTTATTCTAAACTAGAGCGACATGGAGAATGAATCGACACAATCAAATGTACTGAAGAATTGGCAGAAGGAGTTAGCCAATCAGATTGCATCATCGACGTCAAATTAGTGTGTGACTTCAAATAATACAAAGAATCGATCGATAGATTTGGCGATTCACAGTATAAAGTCCAAATTTTGGGTAAAAGCACAATTGTGTTGTATTCATATTGGTACACCCAACACACTATTTTGCAGTTAATATCCGGTATATTTCGTGGAATCCCGTAAGTATTTAATTCAGGGGGAATGTTGATTTCGCTAATTAATGTTTCGTGGCTCTCGCATGTACAGTATACCAAGCCCACACGGTCCCAATGTAGTATTGCTACGAGATCCACCTAATACTGGAGCATCTCTGTCACTAGGATTTTTTACAGTTAACTTTAGCTGGTACATTCAGGTAGCAATTATCGTTTGTATTTTTGGCCGTCGCCCCTTGTTTGAAATTTCAACAATAAAGCTAATGGCATTATTAGTACATCTATTAAATAGGACTACTGTAGTACTTATCTTGTTTTACGATCACACTTTTTTACTTCGAAATGGTAATGAAATAATATGGACATGATTTCCATTGGGGTGGCAACTCGATGGGAGCTATTTGACATCAATGGATATTGGTCTACCTATCACCATATCGACAGGCCGAAAAATTCCCCTTCGTGTTTTACTTATTTCCTTACTACCGTAGTAACAGCAAACGAGCTCAATGCAAATTGTGCACTGTTTGAAACGAATCTTTGCACCACGCTGCAAGCAAAATAGCCGACGCAGCGCACGGCTGACTGGGTAAGCTTGTAGCGCCGCACGATACGGACCATTCCGCGGCGCGGGTGCGCAACATCCACGGACACACTTGGTCTGGTGCTGTTGTCGTCGCCGTTGATTCCTCCAACGTCAGCTCCCACAAGTCGTCTAAATACCCCGTGTCGTCTTGGCTACACCCACAACGACACATCATGCGATTACACACCAGCACGCATAGTTTACGTCACAACAAAAAGAAATAGAATATAATTCATAAAACATATGATATATATATTAAAAAATATTTAACTAAATAGACAATTAAACATATGATAACATAAAAATAGATTTAAATAAATAGACTATTAATCATATACGTCCCAAGTGATTTACGCGCATAAAATAAATAGACAATTAATAATATATATATATAAATTCTTTTGTCCCAAGTGATTTACATGCAACTATGTACACCCACCCGCCAAAGAGCACGACTTTAGAGTTTGTCGAAGCCGGCCACCACGCGCCTGCGGTAAAATACCGGTGACTGGGGACTGCTGTATCGTTGTTGGCCACATTAATGGACGTCATGGCCGACGTTGGCTCGGTGAGCGAGTACTGCAACAGGTCCAGACCGGTTTGGTCGTGGGACGATTGGTCGTCGGTGGTCTGGAGGCCCGCCGTCGGTACAAGCGCTTGGAACGGCGTGATAAAAAATAGCTGGCCGTAGCGTCGATGGAAAATGGATTCACCCAGTGGTTGCAGCGTCTGCCACGCATTATCTACCATACAATACACAAGATGATATTGTCAAGATGATTCGAAATTGGAGTGTTTGGGTGCTCAATTGAATGACCTGACTAACCAAATCGAAGGCAGAGAATCGATATACGACCAATCAAAACACAAAACAATAATCAAGTAGCGATTTAAATCCACTCTTCGACCATAATAAAGCCATCGTTTTCAACTAAAAAAGGGGTTTCCATAGTAAACGTACTAGGACTAGTAGGCGAATAATAGTCGAGACGATACAAATCGTGTTGGCAGGCCGCGGTATCTTTGCCTCCAAACACAAACAAGCTGGTCGTTCCCACGACGATGCTCGTGTGCTGGTACCGCGGCGACGGCGGCGTGCCCCGGATCGTGCGGCTCACGTCCGTCCATTCATACACCGGGGTACACGGCTCCTACAATAATGCAAAAGTCGTGGTTGAGCTCATTTTACAGCAACACCCGTACCATTGTCCATGTAATTTGCCACGACGTCAACGTGCCACCCAACAGATCTTTAGCGCGGTCATGCACCTACCAAAGTAACAAACCACCAGAGCCCATCAAGTTTTTATATATACTGTTACACAAACACCTTTTTTTTAGGACATTTTTGAAGTGCCGGACTTCTTTTTTTTTTAAACGTTTTTGTTTAATAAATCGTATCGTCACTTTATATGTATCGTTTTGCACAGTCTACTGACTCGATTCATAAATCGTAGGTAATATTTATAGTATTAAAGTATTTAGGGCCACTCTGGCTGCCACAAAAAAATGGCAGTACCCACTTTATTTTGCATCTTTTTCAGAAATATTACGACAATTTTTCAAACGTCAGCTTTTTTGTGTTTAGCTGACCTAAATAAATTGACATAATACGTCCATTTTTTATTATTTTCGGGCAGAAAAAGGTTTCAACTGCAACCGTCCAATTATGACCTCCATAATACGTACTCCAGTCCTCTTATCGCATCCAGAGGTCACACCAAAATACGTTGCAAATATTTTCTGAGCTCTAGGTCAAAAAAATTTTAATTTCAATTTTTTCTGGAGTCGAGCGTGGCCGTTAAATTGGGCGTTTTTAATAACAGTTCAGTATTCATCAGTTCACCGAGTAGTAGCAACAATTACTTGGTCAACCATATATATTTTATGTAAAAGGTAACTGTTAGAGATACGAAACAGTAGACAGAGTAGTTTTTACCTGCAATGTCCACATGCCAGCCGCGGGCAAATGATAAAATGCATCCAAGGGTTCCAACGACGAGGTGGCGTCTATGACAAGTGACTGTGGCCCCGATACACACTCCATCGAGGCGTTGGCTGCACCGTATAGCTGCACGCGGTGTCCTCTAGACAACAATAACGACTGTACGTCACCGTCCCCATATGTTAGGCTATAGATATACTTCAATCCATCCTACATCAACAACATGCACAACATCGCCCTAAAACCAAAAATATATGGCCGAATCCACTTGCCCCACCGAAATACTGGCGATTTCGTTGAAGCTGCAAAATACATTTTTTGGCATCAATATTGTCAAATCGATTCGAAACCTGGAGTCGTTAGTAGAGTAATCAAATGTCTTAACTCCCCTACGACCATTTTAAGTACGTCTAAGACGAATAAGTATATTTTGACGTACGACTAAGTAGTACTTAAGTAAATATATAATGAGCTAAATATAGACAGAACAGAATTGCCCCTCCTCATGTCGCTCAATAAAATTTAAGTAAACAGGTTTCAGACAAATTAGTTAATTCGTACGTCTAAGACGCATTTTGGTCCTAGGGAAGTTAAGAGAATATTGATTCAAGAACTGGCTAAGCCAATCAAATCACGTCCTGGGGAATTTCTGCCAATCCAAACACGTTTAATTCGTCGGCCCAGTCAGTCAGTCCCTCCGCATTGGGCAAAACCATATATATCGTTCGTGGTGCAGTAAAATTTTGTATAAGTTTAAATTAGATTAAATGGATTTGAAATGCTATTTGGCGAAAGGAGTTACAAGTCAGTAGAGCTCATTGGAAACGACACAGGCACTATAATGAATACTAGTAATAAGTAGTATGCCTCAACTACATATCGTCCAGAGGGCTCACCGAGTCGACGGGTACCGCGACGAGATGCGCTCAGACCCATCGAATTGACGTCCACCGTCCATTGTCCACATCACATCACGCGCGACATCTGATCCCGTTTTGCCATCCTGCTGCAGCGCCGGCAGCGTCGACGGACCCGGGCCGTACAAGAACACTTCGAGTGTATTTAGGCACGAGTGCGTGATATTTAGCACCACTTGCATCGACTGAATGCATGTGGCAGTCGGGTCCGTGCTGGCCACGGCCGTGGTCCATGTGTCCGCGCCGTCTCGCAGGAGCACGTTTGCCGTCGATTGGTCCGACACAAGAGTCGTCGGGGTGCCTACGTCCAGCTGCCACACGTCGTTGAACGAAGGGCCAGCCAGTTGCCGGCCGCCAAACACGAGCATTTTGGACTTGCCCAACGCCGACGCCGTGTGCTTTTCACGACGAGGAGGACGCACGCTCCCCACTACATCTTGCACGTGGAGCCTATAGAAACCAAATTGAATATAGAGGGGTGGCGGTTGATTTTCCGTTGAACGAATGTATAGTACGACCACAGCAACAGATAAGTGTTCACAGAATGAATCAAACATTGTTAAAGCCCAAAGCGGCTAGAATAGACATATTGTTGATTTTTTAATACTATAAAGTTATATTTTGACACAAGCACAGGTACAGAAGAATCGGCAGGAGCATCTAGCCAATCAACAAATTGCAGGAAATCACAACGAATTCGTGTGTGACTGAAATTAGTGTTATATACATCCCCCTGGACATTCTTGTGTTATGTACAAATTCGGTACAGCAAATCGATCAATGGATTTGGCATAATCAGCGCAAATGTCCAAACATTTTTGGGTAAAAAGACAATATATATTTGTATGGTTACCACGACTGGGTAGCGGAATGATACCGCCACAGCTCGTTTGTTTCGAGTGCTGACGTCACGCACACATCACTTGTACCACGTTGGCAGGGATACCCAGGTCCAAACCTACACGTAAATGTATCATTATATACCAATGTATATATATATATTCAAACAAAAGGTTCGAAAACATGTTCATCCTTCAACACATCTATATATGTACATTCATACGACCAGAACACAAACTCGGTCGAAGATCGATAGGCTTGGCTTACTATGACAAACATGCAAACAAAAAAATATAATATATTGTGGATTCGACACAAATTTCCACACCCTGTCGAATCGAATCTCGCCGCCGAATCGAATAACGAATCATTGACGCTATTGGCTAATACATTTTTGAGTAGATTTGATTGGCTCTTGCAGAAAGGACAAGTAAAAATTCAACCAATCAGAAACTCCGGCGTGATTCAATATTGATTAGACGACAAACCAGGCGAATTTTGGAAGTTTAAATCGAATTCACAATATTACCCCCCAAACAAGTACGAGTACTCGCCCAACACGACCATGCTATGTCCTCGTCTAGGCGACGGAGAGCTGAACACGTCGTCGTTGTGACGGAAACCACTGCCGACATTCGACTGCATCAACAGCATCGGCCGGATGAGTCGCCACGAGTTGATTGGTCGGGCCAGCGTTTGGCTAATTACGCGTGGACTGTAGCCCCCCACGTTTCCCGCCATGATGAGTTTGACCCGGATCGCATACGTCGTCGCCGGCTCGAGGCCCATCACGACAAAATGCTTGTCCGTCGTGCCATCCACCTAGTAACCAGTCAGGTATGATCTCTCTCTATATATATATTATACATCTCTACTATATTATTCTTTTCGCTCAAATGTGCCTAGGTTGGGTGGGGGATTGTTGAAAACACCAACAAAAATCGAACAAAGCGTATGATTGGATAAAAAACTGCAGGTTGCAATATAATAAGAGAATGAATGTGCACACTGCAAATGTGATATATATATATATATATATATATATATCATATTTCGACGGTCCACCGATTGTTGGGTGGTTGGTTAATAAACAGCCGGAGGAAATATTTCGAGTACAACATACAATAAAATGTATATATATAACGGACTATTATATATATATATATATATACCGGACTAAAGTCTTCGTTGGAGTCCCCGACAGCGAGTTCAATGAGGTATCCTTCGTTTTGGGGTCGAAACGAGATTGGCGTATTGGTGGGGGCACGCCATTTCACAGTTAGGGACGACACGCCAGGCACTACCGTCACCTGTTCAGGGACTGGGGGGTCCAATGGAAAGGATAGGGGCTCGATCTAGTAGCCAATACTTAGTTGTGATGCTTAGTAACAGGTTACGCACCGCCGACATGGATATATATCCGCTCCCCCCGCCTCCCCCGGCCCCTTGAAGTCCCCCGCCACCGCCGCCTCCGCCAAAGTACCCGCCGCCGCCACCACCACCCCCCTTTTTCCCATCGCCCCCAACACCCCCCACGCGTTCCTGGCCGTTCGACGAGACTACACAGACTCGTGTGGGTGCTTGTCTTGTTGTGTTTAAACTGGAGCGACGTTCGACACAACCACATAGTCTGGCGAATCGGCAAAAGTAGTATTTCGCCAATCACATTGCAGGAAATCATCAATCAACACGTTATCCGCGTGTGACTTCAATTAGTGTGATGGACATCATCACCCCTGGACATTCGTTACATATAAAACTCGGTACAGAAAAAATCGATTGATGGAAACCAGCACTACAGTTGAAACAATTCGTAAAACGAAGTACCTTGATTGAAAACAGATGCATACGAGCTTTGGTGGCCAGCTTCACCCCCCGCCACGCCACTTCCACCACCCCCAGGACTCGCCAGCGCCGAAAAATCAGCTCCTGGTGCATATCCCACCTCGAGATTCTACCTCATGACATCTTTGGTCGACATTTCACAACTACAAACGTACGTTGTCGTAGGCAGAAGCACCCATAAAGTCCCGAAAGTCGCCAAATTCAAACTTGGAGTGAAACTCGTCGCGCGAAGCCACGGGAAGCGGAAGTCCCATTTGAGCAGCGGTTGGTGCTGTGCCGGCCGTTCCGTTGAGGCCACCGGCGGCGCCCCCTGCCGAGCAACACACGGCACTTGCACCGCCTCCGCCACCCCCCGGAGCCACGACAAGCAACGACCACGTTCCCACAGGCTTCTCCTTGTAAACCATCGTAGCCCCTCCTCCCCCGCCGCCAACGAAATCGCCTCGTCCGCCACGGCCACCCCCGCCAAACCCGCCCGCGCCGCTGCCACCACCACCCCCTCCGCCGCCCACCGACACTTGGAACACCGCGCCCCGGGAGGTCGAAAACGACGCTCGGGCAAAGCCACCGCCGCCGCCAACCCCCAAGTCGATGGCGGCTTGGCTACCGCTGCCACCGCCACCGCCCCATGCATACACGTCGACGACAGCACGTTCGTACTTGGGGTTGTCTGGAATCGTATAATTCTACATATATACGAGACATACTTGTTCACAACGGCTTCAATAGTTGCGGTTTTTGGTAGGTTCGACAGACCAACCTGGGCCGTTCCCGTGTAGTACAAGGCATCTTGCTTTAGCAACAACCCGTCCAACGCAAACAACCGCATGTATACCACCCCTGGCTACACGCACATTTCGGTGAAGTGCGTCGACGTAAATTTCATCACAAACAACTCAAACTAACTATTGTCGATTTGATATACAAATTTGGGGAGGGGGTGCAATCGAATCGCGCCGACCAAACCGATCCACCATCGATCTGATTGGCTGTTGAATTTCATTGAGAAGGTTTTGATTGGCTAATAATGTTGAGCTCTTCTGAAGTAGCCAATCAAATAACGATTTCAATTCCAACGAGAAACCACGAAATGTCACTCGAAAGCACAATACATGCTGTTTTATTTATGGATTATGGACATATTTCCTTCAAAAACATGAAAAACACGACATATTTCATAAAAATCTACCTGCCCGTCACCGCCAAGCCGGCCCCCATTGCTCGTGCCCCCCATATAGTACTTGTCGTTTCGGTTCGCCGCGTCCCCTAAGGTCGCCGCGAGTAGCGTAAACTGGTGGGGCCGAATTGTCACTGCAGCGCTGACCGTCACTCGCGGCCGGTCGGAGCGCACAATGTTGGTCACGACCCAGTCACTCGTTCCCAACGGATTCACGGAGGCCACTCGAGCCACGTATCTCGTGTACGGAGCCGGCGCTGACCACTTGAACTCGTTCAAACGGATCCAGTCGATGGCGTCCACAGCCTTGTACGCTGCGACATAGGTGACGGGGCGTGCCCCGCCGTCGTCTCTATATATGTATATATATTTATATGGTCAAGTCGATTCGAATTTGGAGAGTAATTTTAGAGTGTTGAATTGAATGATGTAATCCACGAAATCCATCGGTCGAATTTTTTGTACTGAACTTTGTATGTAAAATTTGGGAAGCCAGTCGTACTATATATTTGCAGGCACACACGGCATTCGATGGTTTCAGGAATTTGATTGGCCACTTGAGAAAGTGTTCTAGCTCTTGATTGGTCGGTCGATTGTTTCATCACCGCAAATATCCAAACTTTGGCTGAAAACACAATGTCAATCAATACAAGTCTATGAAAACAATACATCATCCCAAGTCCAAATAGAATCCTCCCCCAGACGAATCGAATACAGTCCTGGTTTCGGACCAATCTCTTTCGTCTGGGGCAAACTCGAGATAGGGAAGATGGGGATATGAACAGGTACGTTACGTACGACGTTGGCGTGTACAACAGTTGCAATACCATGCCAACTACACAGGAGAGCGTGACATTTTGAGGAGGCAACGGCGTCCCTGGCAACGACCGCACGACGACCACGTCGGACGGCGGGCCATTTCCCATCGCGTTCGTCGCGAAGACTTGCACTCTAAGTACATGTCCAGTCAAAATACTACAGGAGTACTATGCATGAAGTATACAATTGTGTAGTTTTGAGACTTGTGTATTAGAGGAGAGAATCGATTCACATTCATTTCGTACTGGCACATCGTGTTGGGTCGGAGTGTCGTGATGGTGGCAAACGTCGAGGAAGGGTCAGTCTTGATTGTGCGCCAAAACACGTCGTCGTGACAGCGAGATGCCACCGAGTACGACAGCGTCGGCAACGATGTGACGGTGGGATGGATACGAGGGCTCCACGTGATGGAGATGGTCGTGACGGTCGCGCTCGTGGCGACAACTTGAACTGGCATGCTAGGCAGAGCTACGCCACCAACATACATCCGTAGTATAAGCCAAAAGTTCATTAGAACCATCCATCGAACACGTCGTCTAATACTCGACGACCAAGGCGTAATATACAGTCAGTTGTGATGGGTTGGTCGGCACCTAGAATGCACGTCGACCATGGCGCGGTCACAGGACTCCATGCCCCCCAGCCACCCTACATGCTATCAGACTCTGTGTGTATGACGTGGCACGCTACCGTGGCAGCATGCGCTCGCACACGGAACACATAGTCTGTGCTATGCGCGAGGCCAGACACTGTCGCGACGCACTCGGCCGTACACATGGACGTCGGCGGCTGCAGCTGCGCGATCGTCACACTCCCGTTGTCCAGAAGGTTCGTGTGGATGCCAAGCATGGGCCGCGGGTGACTCTCATGAAACTCGATGTGCCATGCATACCCGCCCGTGGTGTCAGGCCCTTGCCGAGTGACTTGCACGTGCAAGACGTCATGGATGGATTGGAGAGCGGCTTGGACGGTCGCGGCGGATGCGTCGAATGCGATCAGGGGGGATACAGCCAAGCCTAGATGTAAAAAGGTCACTTGGCCAATTGGGCGTGAGGTGGCGGCGGACCTGTTCGAGTGTCGACGTCGGCAACGCTGGCGTACGAACTTGTGAGGCGAAAGAACCCACCGGTGATCGGCCCCGACACCCCTCGACTCACCACGGTTTGCACGCCCAGCGATGGCACAGTGCTTATGCGACCTGTCAGCGAGCTAGACCATGACGTCCACGCAGATTTCTGCGCCACTCGGTATGACACCTCGTATGCGTCAAGCGCATCGTCACTTGCGCTACATGGATACATGCATAAGGACACTGCCGACAAGTTTGAGCACGGTTGAACGTCAGCATACGTACGCGACAGCTGGCCACGTCACAGTGGCCGCGATGGACGACAGCGAGCACTCATGCAGTTCGATTCTCGGAGCCAAAGGAGGAAATGGAGCTTGCGCTGCCAGAACTCCCCCCACCGCGCACATGGCCATGCCAAGGCGCATGAAAGTCATGGTCGTCTTCGTTGCGAAGTTGGTCGGGCGTCGAAAAGATATCGAAAAAGCGAGAGCGTAAACAATTTAATCTTCATGAAAATAATATAATTCATATTCTTGCAGCACTATCTTGCCTTGATTATGGAACTTTAAACTCGTCAACTTTAGTATGCGAAATGTCGAAATAATATTTTGACGGTTACATGTGTAACTACAGTAACTGCCTTGTCAAGGATGGATGATGTGACTGAGGTACTCGTAGTCCTCGACGCAATTGTACACGTGGGCCGACAGACGAAGGTACAGCCGCCCGTCGATGCACTTGACGGGCACTTCCACGTGGAACTCGGCATGCAGTCGGTCTTGCACACACTTGGCATCGCTAGACGTCTTTGTTGCAGTCGCGTCCATGCCAAACACATGCGGAGGTAGCGGTACAAGGCGCATGGCACTACGCTTGTGTGCGGGCACAATTGACTACATGTGCTCAAATCTCTCATCAACGACGACACTTGTACCCCCATCATCGTGCATACCTCGGGGAGATGCCACGCCCGGCGCAACTCTCGATCTGCCACGTTTATAGTCTCATGCATGTACTCTCGCACGCCATTTGCTTGGTTCCAGTACGCCAAGATCGTCGGTAGCGTCAATAGCGCGCTGTAGTCTTGCAGTCCTGTCCACAGAAATCGTGCTTGGAAGCTTCCATCAAGGCCGTGAGATTGACTTCGCGGCCGCATCTTGGCCTGGTGTTCTGGCTGCACATGCAGAAACGCAGCTCCCTTGGTCGAGCAAAGCCACTTGTGGCAGTTGCCCACGTAAAAGTCGGCGCCAATGTCAGATACATCCAAGTCCAAGTTGAGCAGGCCGTGGGCGCCATCTACCAAGACGGGGATGCCGCGCGCGTGGCACAGCTCGACGATGCGCTGGACGGGAAGCACGGTCGCTGTGTTCGATGTAATGTGATCCACGACAACCAGTCTACAGGCGCTGTTATTGTTGTGTTTATTCTACAAACTCGAGCAACATGGAGAATGAAACCAAATGTACAGAAAATTCAGCAGAAGAATTTAGCCAATCCGATTGCAGGAATAAACCATCTTCAACGTCAAATTAGTGTGTGATTTTAATTAGTGTGATATGGACCTATCACCGCAGAAGACCTTTTTACATACGTAGTACAAAATTCAGCACAAAGAATCGATCGATGGATTTGGCGATTCAGCACAAAAGTCCAAAATTTGGGTAAAAAGGACAAAATGAAGACATGTCAGGACATGCCGGCCATGCATACTAGTACGTACTTGCAATCGGGCGGTATCGTGTCCGCGATAAACGTGAGAATGGCGTCGTCATCGTGTGAAGTTGCATAAGGAAGAGCTTGGGTGTGCAACATGAGCTCGTGTTCCGAACACACTTGATGTAGCAGCTTTTTGACTGCGCCGTACGCGACATCCAGAGTGTAAATGGAGTCGCCTGGACGCATGCGCTTCGCCATCGACTCGACGACCTAGCACATAAATGCGTTAAGGAGGTGAATGGAGGCTGCATAGACATGAACGTACCGTGTTGATTCCCGCGGTCGCATTGGTAAGCAGCACGACGTCCTTCGGTGACGAGGCGCGGATGGACGACGCCAGTGCTTTGATCGAGTCGACGAGGTGGAAGAACAGCTCGCGGTCGATAAACTTGAGGGGCTGTTCCTCGGCGTAATCGCGCCACATCTGCGCTGTGTGCATCGCTAGGCGAAGGGTCGAACCAAATGCGCCGTGATTCAAAAAGATCCACGTCGGGTCGAGGAAGAAGGCAGCCTTGAGGTCGTGTCCAAACGGCGCGATTGGTGGAACCGGCGGGATGTGGAATGGAACTGGTCTTGGAGACGATTCCAGGAAGATGTCATCGATGCTGGGCGTGTGGAAGGATCCGATAGCTTGGTAGCCGCGCGCGGACGTCGCAAACGGACGTTGCGCGGCCCTACATGCATTGAGTATCATATTGATCGTCCTCTATATAGTGTCGAATGACTTGTAATAGTGTTGTTATGATACTTCTATTTGCAGTACTTTCATATCTAAATTTGAGATGAACAATCTATGAGTATGGGAATACAGGTAATATAAAAAAACATATGTCCCACAGAGACACACACTTTCCGTACAGTGTACCTGTATCTCCTGCCATGCATGTACGTACAGTAGCTACATGTAGCTTATAGACCTGCTCTGAGGATAAGCATCAAAGCATGCTCCTTCTCCAACGGACCTCCGTGCTTTGGTGGACGCAGGGATGCTTACCAAGGTCGCATGACCCGAGATGGTGCTGGCAATTCCATCCGCCGCCGTCTGGTCTGTTGGATTCGTAACGTTTCGATGAAAATAAAAATATGATCCGAGCACTACATCTTTGTATCGGTTCATTTTCTCGTACAATAATAATTGCAATTCCTTGCCACCACCATCAACGATTTGGTTGAAACAAATTTTTGCATCCAGGCCAGCTCTCGTGGCATCATGGTGCAGCACACCAAGTTCTATGAGTTGATGGGCGTGGAACCGACGGCGACGCCGGAGGAGCTTAAGAAGGCGTATCGCCGACGCGCGCTACAGCTGCATCCTGACAAGCGCGGCAACTCCCCCGAAGCGCAGGACGAGTTTACGACCATGAAGAACGCGTACGACGTGCTCAGCGACCCGCGGCAGCGAGAGATCTACGACGCGACGGGAGAAGATGGACTCAAGATGGTCAATGGGTTTGGCGAGATGAGCATGGAAGAGATGATGGCCGCTGCGATCGGCGCGTTGTCGTCCATGGGCGGTGGCGCCAAGTTCTGCCTCTTGTTCTCGATCACGGCAGTGTGCGCGGTGCTATTGCTCGTGCCCAGTACGTCCACACATACACGCATGTATCAAGGACGCGTTGTTGTTGTTGACAAGCAGTACATGATGTAGTTTTGTGGTGTCTCCGCGTGGACCAGACCGTGGATTGGACGTGGGTCGATGTGTTCATCCCAATGTGGATCCTCGACAGCATTTACCTCTGCGCGACATGCTGTTCGGTCGTGTCCAAGGACTCTCCCGTCGACGAGAACGGCGAGCCGGTGGGGGCGCCGCCACCCCCTTCCACATACTCTCGCGCCTTGTCCAAGAGGTATACCATCGTCACCATCGCCACGGTCGTGCTAACACTGTCCATGGCTAGCCTTCTCCTGCTTAAAGCCCTTCTGTTTGTGGCGACTCAAATTCTGATTGCCATGAAATTGCAAGGCTCCATCGATATCTCGTGTGTCGCGGTGCTGAGTCCATACCTAGCGCTAGAAGGAATGCTGCTGTTGCAGAAAGCCATCGTGGCCTACTCCATCTACGCATCGGTAGCAGCTACGGCCACCAACGACAAACCTTACACAGTACGAGTTGTACTCCCAAACGTCTGGTGTACTGCCTCTAATTGTCCCCTCCTCGCTCTAGTTGATGGGCCCCATCGCGTACAGCATCGGGCAAAACCTGCTTCGCTTGGTGTTTGTCGTGCTTCTTGGCCTCAAAGTTGATGCCACGGTCACTGGTAGCTGGTGGCTCGTCTTTCTCCCCGTGTGGATATACATGGCGCTGTCCCTGTGGTTCACCGTACGTTACTCGTACCTTTCAAACTTTATGTTATTGTCGCTTTTTTTACCCAACATTTGGACTACTTTTGTGCTGATTCTAGCCAAATCTATCGATAGATATTTTGTACTAAAGGTGTCGTGGGGTCATTGGTATCAATCACACTCATTGAAATCAGACACTATTTACACGTTGATGATGGTTTCCTGATTGGCTAAATCCTTCTGCTCTCGATTCTTGTGTACATGTATTTTTGGTTGTGTGTCGATGCGTTCCCCATGTCGCTCCAGGTTTGAATATAAACACAACAATATGTTTTTTTATATCGTTTGAGGTATATATAAATATATATATATGTTGTTGAAATGTTTCGAATTTGGTATTGTCCTGTTACCCAGTCTTTGGACATTTGTGCGGATTCTTTGCCAAATCTATCGTTCGATTCATTGTACAGACTTTTGCATGTAAAGATCGAGCAGTATCACACTAATTCGATGATGAATTATTTGAAGAGTGGATTTGATTGGCTAGTTGATTCATGCCTTGTGTTTTGATTGGTCGTATATCGATTCTCTGCCGATTTGGTTAGTCTGGTCATTCAATTTAGCACCCAAATACCACTCCAATTTCGAATCGAATGAACAATAGTGTATGGTTGTCTACATGTGCTTGCAGTTTCTTTTTATTTCGACGTTTTTTTGTCCTGAATTTGTTTTGCGTTTTTCAATACTACGTAATATGATTTTGATGAGGTTTTTGTACTTTTTTGTCATGAATGTTGTTTGTTTATGCAGGTGCGAGGCATCCTGGTGGCGTCCAAATTGACTGCAGACAATGCCCAAGGGAACAAAACGAGCGGTCTCCTCTGCGCTGTAATGATGTCGTTGGTCGTGTTCAGCCCGTTTGTGCTGCTGGCGGCACGACTGGAAGGATCATTTTCGTCATTTTATGTGCTGCTGCCGTGGCTGATTGTGGCTGGCGGCGTCGTCGTCGTGATGTGGTTGTGCTTGTGTTGTGTCATGCGACCGCCGCAGGAAGAGCAACCCACGGCGTCCGCCGCGGACGTTCCAAGCGAGGAGGGCGGCCGACACGACGAAAACGTGTACCATGGTGTGCAAGATGATGAAAAAGTATAGGGAGTGTATTTTGTACTTCTGTAGAAATGGAAAACGGTTGGGAAATTGGTAGGAAACGAACCTATTTTAATCAAAATAGAAACGGCCAGGTGTGTGTTCGCTGTCATACTGTACTATTGTATGGGTGGGTGGGTCTGTCAGGATCAGGCACGACCAAAGTGCCTCGAATTACTGTAAAGTACTTCAATTTTTATCCAGTTTCAATGCCATTGGTTTTAAATCACTGATTCTAAGTGTCGATAACAGAGAATGTTGTTGTGGTTATTCTATTTACAACTGGGGCGACATGGAGAATGACCAAAGGTACAGACAAATCGGCGAAGGATTTAGCCAATCAGATTGCAGGAAACTATCATAAAGTTTAATTAGTGTGACACTGTAATTAGTGTGTTTACAATCACCACAGGACATACAAAATTCAATACAAAGAATCGATCGACAATATCATGATGCATATTGGCTTCAAATATATGTTGTCCTTTTACCCAAGATTTGGACTTTTGTGCTGATTCACCAAATCTATCGATGGATTCTTTGTACTGACTTTTGTATGTAAAGTGATGTCCAGTGTCACATTTAACAGAAAGCACACACTGACTTGATGTTGAAAACTGGAAGTCACACACTGATTCAACGTTGACTGTGAATTGGTCGAACAGTGGATTTGATTGGCCACTTGATAAGAGATTTGGGTTTTGATTGGTCAATCGATTGTCTCTCGATTTATTGCTGCTCGTTCGATTGAGCTCACAACGTCAGTCAATTTCAGAAATATTGCTCGAAAATGATTAGGGTTAAAATAAACGCTTTTAATTGGACAAAAAGATTCGATTCTTTTTCCGAAATGGACACATGTCAAATCCAGTCGAAATCTAAACGCACCAGATTGGTGTCTACATACAGTACCGGTATGTATATAGGGTACACAACTTACGCCTCCAAAGGCTGTCTGTTGTCCGGCTGAAATAGCATGTGAGTGTTCACGAGCCTTTGTTTATGGCTCAAATGATCAAGCTTGATTCGATCCAGTAACCTTTGAGTCTTGTAGGGTGGTGCATTGACTGTGTCAGTAGCGGTGTTGTCGCCACCCTCAGTTCTGACATGGCCAACTTTTCATTTCGATCAGTCAAGCAACATCGAGTGCATAGCCAATGCCATATTAGTATGAAAAGTACTCTCTGGTCAAGTCATGCTATAGTACTTGCTGAAGAAAGTGAGTGATGTTTCTTTACTATTAACGTCAGTACGGTGCTGTTTCTGACTTGTTATGCCGGAAAATTTGGCGTTAGTGGAGAAATTTGCTTGAGGATTCGTCCATGTAGCTGACTTGGAAACGTTACGATGCTAACGTACAGTGCATACGTCCCACTGGGCAACTCACATTGTCAAGTTCGTGTTACATGGCATCGACCTTGTGTAAGATGACTCTACATTGCGCTTATCAAGTAACGATTGATACTGCCGCTCACGCTCCTAAGAGCATCCCCACCGGTGCGACTGTAAACGCTATTATACAGTTCTATCCGGATTATTTACAGTTTTGACAACCCCACCGGGCGACTGTAAAATACAGGAAACTGTAAAATTTTACCGCGAGACGCCAAATCGGCCAGATTTACAGTCGCGACTGTAAAATACAGTTTTGACAAATTAGCCAATAACATGCTATCAATGGATAATTTTGTCCAATCATGTGCGTTATGGAGTCAATAATCAGTTGGTTCAGAAATGGAATTAGCCAAGGCCGTCCGTGGTTCCAA